GGCCTTCCTTCCCCCAGCTGCCAGCACTGGCTTCCCTCCAACACCCGGTACCCGGGCTTCCCTCGCAGCCCCAGCTTCGTCCGGAAGGACGCTCGGTCCACTTAGCATATTACGCTTTTATTATTATAGATATGTAACTAAAAGTAAGGATCTGAAGAATTTTAATAACAGCCTTCTATTGAGGCACATAGTAATGAGAGTAAACCCTGCCCTAAATCACTAAGGAAATTCAAAAGGGACCGATAAGCTAACACTGTACTATGTAATAATAATATGATGATAATATCATCTTAGACTTCAGTATTAAATGCTCTCGTATATACCAATTTTTTCTCAGTTGATCTCAAAAATTTAATAAAACAAAGCCAGGCACACACTATTCTCCATTTTACACACAGGGAACCTGAACGTGTAAACATTCAATGACTTCTCCAGTGAGTGACAGATCTACAGGTAGAGCCAAGATCCTCCTGACATCCCATCCATTGCTCTTCCAACATTACCATGTTGTCCATTCCCCAAAGTCCAGTAAAAGTCTCAGCAACAGAAGGGACAGGGGAAGCCACTGTTTCTCAATTTGATGGGACTTTAGAAACAGAAATTGAATCGAGGAAACTCCCATCATTAACTTCAGCTATACCCACACCCACACCTTTTGGTCTCTTTTCTCAATTTCAGCTTAGACTCCTCTATCTTTTCTTTCTTTTTCTAAAGACACATTTGGAGATGAAGCCATTCATAACTGCCCATCCACAGACAGTTTGTGGCAGTATAATTGACAATGAGTCTGCTGCAAAAAAATGAAAATGTTGTTTTAATAACCTTGGCCTAAAATACATTCTGTTGTATGCCTCAAAGGGTTTCAATAAAAAGTCAACCTGTAGAGACATATTTTCTTGGCTTAAACAACAATCCAAAGCATATAAATGTAGTCCAACTATAATGACATATTTATAGGCCAATAAAGCTTACACTGCAGCTTTCATACTTCACTTAAAGGAACTCTGTAAGAAGCAGTGTTATATAAAATAATTTGATTTTTTTTTTACAAACTATTGCCCAAGGAATAAAAAAAAAGCAAGTTTGCTACATTTAACTGATAGTGTTTATATTCCTTAAATGCTAAAAACTTTATAAAATGAAATAATTCATTTGGTTAGTTCCAACTGCCATACCAAATATGGGTATCAAGTCCACTTTATTACAAAAGCTAAGCACTGTAATTCTAAAGACAAAAATAAATAACGAGAGGCTTGTGTAGTGAATGATTTAATCAACCCGATTCTTCTGGAAAAACAGGTTCCTGTGTTCGTTATGCTTATGAATAATACATTCCTTAACCCTTCTATTTTAACAGAGGGTTGTGTTTTTTTTTTCTATAAACTTCGGTATGAAACGTCTGAAAGAAGGTAAAACATCTCATTGAGTAAAGTCACAATTTGAATTGGTTTCATATTGAACTTTCTTTCTTTGAAAAGGACAAAGAGGAGGAAGGGGACGGTGTATTTTAACACATCTCAGAAGGGTTAGATGATTAGTTTTCCCACTATCTAGATCTGTAGTTTTAGTCACCAGTCTTTTAGAATCTTAAATGAAAACTCCAGAGAGTTTTAAAAAGCAAATATGACATCTGCAAATATTGTCCTTGAAAGGGAAGGGGATAAAAAAAATGAGAGTTGTGATTTGAATCAGAGCAGTTATTGGAAGCTGCCATTTGGGGCAGAGTTTCTCTTTGTGGAGCATTAATTTGTTGGCAGACACACATTTATGAGAACATTCTTGTGTGTGTGTGTTTTTTTACTATTCAGAGAGAGACAGGAAGTGACACAAACTGAGATTAAAGGGAATTTATTCTACCTAAACACCAAGCAGGAAGAGTTCTTTAATTAGCTTTTATATGGTAAAATCCCTGCTTTAAGAGTCAACCTAATTATTTTGTTTTTATTGATGTTTTAACATGATGAAATAACTCAGCTGAAAAATAACATAATGCAGTTTTATTTTATCCATAGAAAGGGGAGATCTTTCCATTCTGTGCTTACTTCCACCAGAAAAAAAAAAGAGGGGGGTCTTAAGTAATCTCAGAGTTCATCTTCTTTCTTTGGTAAGAACAATGAGGAGTTGGAAGGGTTCTACAGAAGGAAAAACCCAATAAGTGTGTGAACTTCCATTAACAATGTGGTATTGGAAGTGGTTTTAGTGTGGCCAAGAGAAGGGAGATAAGAAAACCACTGTGTAGAAAGAAAAGTACAGACAACAAATATTTTGATGTTGCAGACAGAGAGAGGAAGAGGTTGGAGAGAAAGTTGCTGGGACAGGAATGCGTACAGCAAATGACACCCCCTGTCTCCCCAATATAAATCCTAACAATGTAGACTTGTAAACCTTAGATCAAGCAGATAATGGAAACTCATTACATTAAGGAAAGTTTTTGTTTCTCTTTCCACATTATTACAACACAGTGTGCATTCCAATTACAAAAGCTATTTGTCTCAAATTCCCCACAGTTCATACCAACTGAGTAGAATTTCAAGGCCCAAATTCTATCCTTAAAGGGGTATTTTACATTAAATAAAGAAAAAGTACATGATGTTTCTTGCTCAGCAGAGAAGAGCCTCCACTCAAATCTCCTGTTGATTATTTTCTCTTCCTCAGCACTAATAGTAGAATTGTTTCCCAAATGAGACACCCCACTCTGGCAAAAAAGAAAGAAAATTAGAATTCCCTAAAATGCCCTTTCTCAGCAAATACTCCATAGCCTTGCCTCAGTTCTACTGAAAGAAGAATCTGGGGAAGCAGACTCAGCAATCAGTATTATTTTTAAAATTCCCCTGGTGTGTCTAATGAACAACTAGATTTAAAAACCACTAAGTACTTTGAATATTCACTTGAAACCAATTATTTCTGAAATCAATTGTTCAAAGTGTAGAATATGGACATTTTTTTAGAATTCAAAATATTAAAACCTGTAAATCTCTTGATGGAATTAAGAGATTTGGTTTCTTTCCATGTTCATTAATAAATGATCAATGCTAAAACACAAAACAATAAAAATATATTTTAAAAACAATAATAAAAAATAAAGATCATCCTCAAAAAATAATGGGAGATATCTGTAATACTATCAACAGTAAAAAAAAATATATTAAAAAATAAAGCTCATCCTCTAAAATAAAATAAAACACAAAATAACCTTGCTATAAATACTCTTGTTTATATGTGTGACATCAAGCTTAACCATCTACACATCCTTTTGTCCCCTGTGGGTTTCCTGTTTAGTTTTTTATTAGTAACAGTATATTCCTTAACTAAAGAAAAAAAATTTCAAACAAAAGAAAGCTTTTAATGGTAAGGAAAACAAGACAATAGCAATACTTAGATCAAACATTAGGAAAGTGACAAAACAGATGTATTATTCAGCACTGTCACATGTCAGAAGACTTGTCTGTGTGTTCACAGAATTGAAGGGTGTAACTGCATATACCATAGGGGAAGATTTCCTTAAAAAATAGTTCTTTGGACTTTAAAAGGAAAACCATTAGATTAATAATTTTCTCTAACTGTGCACATGACAATCAGGCTGCCATGTCCAAAATATTACTGTCTGACATCTACCAAAAGGTGCCAGGAAACTGTTGATCATTAAACTCAAATTGCAAGAAAATATTAATGCTATTCCCAAAGCACAGTACAGCTCATCACAAACCAGAATCACATGAAAAATAGTCACTGGTTTTATTCAGTCTCTTTACGCTAATTAAGATAGTCTATGTTTGTTGAAATAGTTAAATACTAGGTTAAAAAAAAACAGGAAGTTGTCATATTAAGGCATAAAATAGGGCTATGAAAATCAGCATTGTGTTAGAATGAAAGAAAAAGATGCCTTAAGATGTTAAAAGTAAAGTTCCTCTTTGCCTAAAGAGGAAATAACTACTCTAAATCAGAGGTCAACTTGGGTCTTGAGCAATGCTAGAAGAGTAAGTCAGTGAATGCCACAGGGAGATAAAAACAAAAGAAAAAATAAAACCCACCAGGGGTACAAAAAAGTCAGTAGAGGAGAAAAGTGTTAAAAAAAAAAAAAGCAAGCAACAGAATTCATTGTGGAGCTCCTCCTACACCAATCTCTGTGCTTGACCTTTTGTATCTTACATCTCAGAGTGACTCTATAAAGTTCCAATATTTTTCAGACGGAGAAACTGAGGCTTAGAGGTAAATTATTTGCCCAAGGCCACACAGCTAAGTAGGCAGCACAGTCAGGGTTCAAACACTACTTACAATAACTACTCCAAATTCCACTTCTCCTTTGAACTCAAAGAGGAAGAGAGAAAGGAAGGAAAGAAAAAAAAATGTAGGTGAGGGTGATGACTAAATGCTAAAAAGCTCAGGAAAACCGATGTTGACCAGCCCTGCTTTGACCTTGCTCTCCTGCTCCACATTAGGCAACTCATCTCGTCCTCATTCTGCTGCCCATCCAATGTAAAACATGAAATTCCAACATGGCGTTCATTGATGTCATGCTCTCTACTAGAGCAAATATCCAAACGCATCACTAATTCAGTTTTAGGTGGCTAAGTAAGTCTTATACCTTGACCCCAACTGGAAGCTGCTTAAGGCCATGTGTTATAGCAGCCAGTTCCTGGCTCAGGGGTTCACACATTAAAGGTCCTGTGATCTAACAGATAATGCGCTAGTAGTTGTCCATCTATATTCTCAGGCCCCGGCCCCTTCAAAGTTAAAGAAATTATATATAATTAGAGATTATATATATTATATATATATATATATATATATATATATATATATATATATATATATAAAGAAATTAAATATATAAATAAATATATTTATATAATCAGGACATATATATATATTATATTTATACAGTATTTATATGTGTATATATCAGCAAATATATATCAGGGTTTCCAGGAAAATCTACAACCAAAAAAGGTTACTGTATACGCCCACACATTGGATTTAGAAATACGAAGTGTATTTACCAAGGTCAGCCTTTTCCTTGAGGACGTCTTTGAAGTTGAGTCCACTGTTGAGGGTTGACTGCCTGTACTTCAGCAGAGCTTCCTTCTGTCCGTTCCTTCCCAAGGCCTCTGTTTTCAGGGACCCAGCGTGGAGGCCACATCTCCACTTGGAGAAATCAGAATGTACCCACTTGACCAGGTCTTCAAGCTTCACAATCACTTTTTCAGAAACAGCAATGACTTCATCCTACAATAGGTGGTTGGGGAAAGAACAAAAACCATTATTTGTGGTTCTGGGGTAAATGATAAATTTTCAACAAAGCCCATCTGAAAAACTATTTGAGCAGCTTAACCTTATGCCAGCTGACAATGTGCTTTTCGGTGACAGAGAATCTTCAATAACTCACTTCATTTCAGTGTTTTTTCACTGCTGGTTGTCTAGTTGAGGAATAATTTATAAGATATATTTGTTATATGATTAGAAAGTACAAAACTTGGGCAGTAATTCTAACAGCCATTTTTTAATGCTAGTTGCCAAAACTCACTCTGCCTATCTAACCACTTGGGTGAAAGCTAATTTTTAAGTGCAATTAATTGCAAAAGTAAAAAAGTGAGAACTAGATGACTAATGGTTAGCCTGTCTCTATATAAATAGTCTAAGTAAATCTGGGATTCTTGGAACTCTGACTCACCCTAAAATTCCTATGTTTATGGTACATTTTCCCTTGGCTTATACACAAATATTGAATTTAACTTTTGTCCTAAAAATTAAATAAAACTGTGATGTAATCCCAAAAGAAATACTTCATAAATGTTATGTGCTTCCCACTGAAAGAAACTTACACATACTCATGTTTCTTAAAAACTTTGTAAGTTGAGAAATGTACTGATTTTTTTTCTTTTAATACATATGGGGTAAGAGGCGAGAGGGCGAGTGAGGAGAAAGCCTTTGAATCTAAGAAAAGTAGTTGAAACTTAAGTTTCTCCTATGGATCATAAATTTGAATTTTAAGCATCTCTAATTGCTTCCAGGAAACAACCAACTTTTCTGACTCAGAATTAATCCAGCGAGATATTTAATAGATGTCCATACATGGAGCAGAGGAGGGCCTCTCTTACTCAAAGATTCTTTGGAAAAGGCTTAAGATCATCTCACTGGGTTTTAAGTTAAATTATTTGAAACCTTTGACATTTCAACTTGAACTGACTTCTTTCATTTCTTTTAGTTCACATTTCTGAAAAAAAGCTTAGCTGTGAAAACCCCCAAGCTTACAAAATCTGAGAAATATTTTTGACAAACAACAACAGGAAGATGTCTCTAAGCTATTAAACAAAAGGAATTCACAAGTGATTTTGACTAATTTTGCTGTTAAACATGACTCTTTCCTCCTTCACACACACACACACACACACACACACACACACACACACACCACAGCATTGCACACGCTACTCCAAAGCAAACAAAAAAGGGTTTATTAAGATAAGTCTCACACAATAAAAAAACAACAACCCTGGGTTTACTTTTTAAAAATATTTTAAGGTGGGATCTAAAATTACACTTTTGCTCCTCCAGTTCCAAGCTGCTTCTGAGAAGAAAGTTTGTTAGGCAGTAGCAAAATAACAAATACTCTATCAAAAATGAAAAGTAAAACTTTCGTAATGGAATCTTTTCTCTTATCACGATTAACTATGAACTTCCACTAAATGGGAGACAAAGTGGAAACTATTTTGACCCTCTGCTCAAGAAAAAAATATTTCAATGCTTTACGTAAACAATGGGGCATATTACAAAGTACCATTTCAACGGATGATTTCACTCTGATTCACTACACTATCCGCTTGCAATAAAAGATCTGTAGTTGTCACGCATTTTATAGCTATTACATGGTTATTATTAAATGTCAGACTGAAAATTCAGCCTGGGTTATTGTTTCAAAACATATGGGAACGGCTTCTGGACAGGGCACACCAGAAATCTCGTTTAGAATAGACTGGAAAATAATTATCATGCTATATAAGTCTCAACATTAGCCAAGATGGAATTTGACAACAATTTTACCAAATATGGTTCCCTAGAAGAGACAAGTTTGGAGATGAGTGTTATTTTCAAATAGCTCTCACTCTGATCAAATGATTATCATTTCAATTACCAGTTGCTTCAGATCATTTCCAAGAAATGGCATGACTAGCTCTGGCTGGCTTCCAATACCCGCCAAACAAATAGTTTATTAACCAAGAGAAAATACAGTCCTAATGATGTCATTGATGAATAAACCCATCTTTCCAGATTCAGACCAGAGATTCTGCCCACCCTCCTTTTCTCTTTGAAAAGGACCTTCTGACTATATACACAATACACAAAAACAAACGCAGGAATTCACATAAACCTGCCTAAGCCATAAACCCAAATTTGGCTTAATTGTGAAACCACCAGTATGTTTTACTGGATTCACAGAGAAACTGGCCCTGCAACATTGTCAAATGCCAGGATTTAGAAGGAAATCTGATAAGCAGAGGAGGGGAAACAACAAACCAACCCAAAAAACAAAACAGCCAATATATATATAGAAAATGTCTCAGGAAACATTACTTTGTACACACAATGGCAGAATTTACTATTCTGAACAAGTGCTGACTAAAGTTCCTAATACTCACCATTTTTGGGCAAGTCTCTATGTCTAAGAAAAGAATTTCAATAAGCTCGTCTCATAATTCCATTAGCTGTCTGCAAACTGAGAATTAGCATTGGATAAATATTGCTGATTTACTCTTAATACAACACAAAAGGAACACAAAGAAATACTTTGTTCTTCTATTAGTGTACCTTGGCTTTTCAATTAACCTGGCTCCTAATCAATATTTATGTAGGCTGTGTTGAGACACTTTCTAAATCCATACTCCCTTTCATTAATGTTTTAAACTGCCTATTTCTGTAATTTGGATTTTGTTTCCACCACTGTGTAAAAACAGCTTATTCAATCATGGAATCCTTTAAGTCAGGGGAGATCAGCTAGTCAAGAGGTCATAAATCAGCCAACCCATGTGTACGGCTGGCCTCTCCAAGGGTTCTAAACACTGATAAATTATACAAAAGTATCCAGACTTCCAGCTTCTCTTGTAAAACAAAATGAAATGAAAGTATATCTGTCAAGAACAACAAAAACAAAAAGCCCACCATCACCAACAAAACACCACTGAATGTGAGCAGCAGTTGCCTTCCTTTAGACAGGATTCGAGATCTCTCATTACCACTGTCCCCACAACTCGGTATTGCCTTACGTTCCGTCCACATTTCCCTTACCTGCCTCGTCCCTTGGGCAGGCACCCAGTGTTGGAACTGGCATACTCGGATTTAGTCCACTTCCCTCATTTTATTAATGGGGACAATAAGGTTCAGGGACATGTCCTAGTGGCAAGTTCTGCTAGAACTTGGACAAGAATCCGGGTTTCCTATCTGCCTGGGTTCAAATCCCAACTCTGCAATTTACTCACTATGGAACACTGGACAACACATATATTTCAAATGTTTATAAAAGGATAATAATAATCCACCTCTCATGATAATTGTGAGGATTAAATGGGCTAACGTAAATGAAGTGGTATGTCAGCTGTCGTTATCATCACTCCTTTGCGTTCCATTTTCCAAAGCGTGCCATGCAGAAATGAGTTTGGATGGTTCATGGGTAAATTTATTTTTTTAAATGTAAGTTACACATTGCTTATTTTTTGTGTGGCTACTTTCCATTTACAGGAAAATGAAACTGGTTTCTCATTTACAGGAGCTATAGAAAGTTTCCTCTTGAAATAGATATGTTTTTAAAAATTGACCAATCTGAACAAAACCATTAAGTTAACATGGGGACATGTGGGTATGGCCAAAAAAAAAAGCCAAGATGCTATGAAAATGACTGAGATGTATTAGATCCGTGGTTCCAAAGTGTGGTCCAGGGACCCTGGGGAATCCCTGAGACTATTTCAGGTGGTCCATGGAGTCAAAACAATGATCATAATAATACTCAGACATTATTTGCTTTTTTCTTTCTTAGTCTTTCAAGTCGGGGTTTTCCAGATACTACATGACATATGTTATGGCAACCCAGAAAATGATCTAACATATTAACTATCAATAGAGATAACCCACAAGATATGAGAATCCAACTGTCTCTATTCTAGATAATGGATTGACAAAAATGTAAAACAATACCACTGTTTTTACTAATTTTTTATTTCCAAAAATGTGGTTCAATTTCATAAAAATGTTTTACATTTACATAATGGGTTTGTTTTTCCAGTTTAGTTTTATTTTTAAAATTCACTTGCAGTAAAATATCTTTTAAAAAATTTATTGTTGACAGTATTACAGATGTCCCCCATTTTCTCTCCTTTTGCCCCCCTCCACCCAGCCCATGCCCCACCCCAGCCCTTCCCCACACTATTGTCTGTGTCCATGGGTATATATGCATCTATGTTCTTTGATTAAATATCCCTTTTATGGTGTGCAGTTCTATGTGCTTAAACACATGGCAAGCACTGATCTGTTCTTGCTATAGTTTGCTATAGTTTTCTCTTTTCCAAAATGTCATATAAATTGAATCCTACAGTGTAAAATCTTTTGAAACTGCTTCTTTCACTCAGCATAACAACCTTTGAGATCAATCCATGTTGCTACATGTATCAATAGCTTGTTCCTTTTTATTGCTGAGTAGTATACCATAGTATGGATGTGTCGCAAAGTTGGTTTATACATTCATCCATTGAAGAACACTGAGTTGTTTCCAGTTTGGGAGATTACAAACAGAGCTGTTATAAACATTCACATACAGGATTTTCTGTGCGTATACGTTTTCCATTCTCCACAGTAAATACCTAGGAGAGGGATCGCTGAGTCATATGGTAAGTGAATACTTAATTATGTAAAAACTGCCCAACTGCTTTCCAGAGTAGCTGTACCATTTCGCATTCCCACCTGCAATTTATGAGAGTTCCAGTTGTTTCTCATCTTCACTAACACTTAGTGTATCACTGTTAATTAATTTATTATTGCCATTCTAATATGTATTTAGTAGTTTCTCAGCATGTTTTAAATTTTCATTTCCCTAATGACTAGTGAAGTTGAACATCCTTTCAGGTACTAATTTACCATATGTATACCCTTTTTGGTTAACTGTGTGTTTAAGTTTCTGCCCATTTTTAAAATTAGGTTGTTTGTTTCCTTACCATTGAGTTTTGAGAGTTCTTGTACTT